ACATTACATTCAAACTAATTTTTAAAATATTTGTTCAAGTATTGTTGCAGAAACAAGTACAGGATGTTTGTTAGCAGCATCTGGTCTTGGGAAAAGAGGTAATGTTCATCACAGTATTCTAAGCTCTGTTTGTTGTTTCAGTGCTTTAGAAATGTACAGTAATATTTGTGTAGAGCTAAAAAGAAACCCATGTAATAAATGTTAATATGAGCAGTGTAAGTCAGCTGAAATTTTTTTTTTAATGAATGTGTCACATTTTGTCAAGGTGTTCCTGCAGAGAAGATTGGCAAAGATACAGCTGAAAAGTTAATTGAAGAATTGATGCATGGTGGATGTGTTGATGAATATCTACAAGATCAGGTCAGTAATTAAATAATTAATAATATGTCCATGCAAGATACTATTTAAATATAGAGAACAGTCTGGAGTCAAATAATGAAAGACTTAATGTTCATGTTAGATAGGCAACCCATGTAAAATACAGTGTTTAATACTGTATAGCATATATTAGTGAAATGTTACTTAGACAATCCATATACTGTATAGTGTTTATATACATTGTAAATATAGGTTAGTAAAATCTAGGTAAACCTGTTATTTAGGCCAGCATATTTTGAGAATGTGGAACTATGTCCCTACTCCAATAAAAACTTAATGGTCTAATTGGAGGTGGAGGGTGGGGGGATGTCTGCAACCAAAGCACCTCCCAGCCTTCACCCATGATGTAGTTAACCCTTGTAGTCTTTTTATATATAGTTTCATGTTTTTGTATAGTTGATTATATTTATGGCACTGGCTGAAGGGAAATCAAGTTTACTGAGTGGTCCTGTCTCATTACACACAAGCACTGCCATTCATATAGCAGAAAAACTGACAAAGGTAAGAAATGTACAAAACAAAACAAAATGCAGCTCTAACTTACAGTATTCACAAACTTTAATCAAATAATAAAATTCCATTGAAATATTTAAAGTAAATTTACATTTTAATTAGCACTTACGAATAGACTTAATATTATATTAAGAAAGAACCTTTCATTTTAAAAATACTGAAGTAAAAGTAAATTGTAAGTAAAAGTT